GACGAACATATACATGGGAGCTATACCCAAATCTGAGCCGATTTTCAGGAAACCTAACACACATCATTCTACACCTATTTCATTACGCTGTGCCAAATTTCGTGCAAATTAAAGATATATAGGGACTTTGGTACACCATTTACCTTAAATCGGACGAAAATATATATGGGAACTATATCCAAATCTGAGCCGATTTTTACGAAACTTCACCCACATCATTCTAGACCTAATTCATTACGCTGTACCAAAATTTCGTGCAAATCGAAAGATATATAGGGACTTTGGTACACCATTTACCTTAAATCGGAAATATACATATGAGCTATATCCAAATCTGAACCGATTTTCAGGAAACTTGACACACATAATTCTAGACCTAATTCATTAAGCTGTGCCCAATTTCGTACAAATCAAAAGATATATAAGGACTTTGGTACGCCATTTACCTTAAATCGGACGAAAATATATATGGGAGCTATATCCATATCTGAACCGATTTTCACGAAATTTAGCGCACGTCATTCTAGACTTAATTCAATACGCTATTCCAAAGTTCGTGCACATCAAATGATTTTTAGGGAATTTGGTACACCATTTACCTAAAATCGGGCGAAACTATATATGATAGCTATATCTAAATCTGAACCGATTTCCACGAAACTTAGCACACATCATTCTAGACCTAATTCAGTAGGCTATACCAAATTTCGTGCAAATCGAACGATATATAGGAACTTTGGTGCATCATGTACCTTAAATCGGGCGAAACTATATATGGGAGCTATATCTAAATCTGAACCGATTTTCACGAAACTTAGCACACGTCATTCTAGACTTAATTCAATACGCTATTCCAAAGTTCGTGCACATCAAATGATTTTTAGGGAATTTGGTACACCATTTACCTAAAATCGGGCGAAACTATATATGATAGCTATATCTAAATCTGAACCGATTTCCACGAAACTTAGCACACATCATTCTAGACCTAATTCAGTAGGCTATACCAAATTTCGTGCAAATCGAACGATATATAGGAACTTTGGTGCATCATGTACCTTAAATCGGGGGAAACTATATATGGGAGCTATATCTAAATCTGAACCGATTTCCACGAAACTTAGCACACGTCATTCTAGACTTAATTCAATACGCTATTCCAAAGTTCGTGCAAATCAAATGATTTTTAGGGACCTACAATCGGGCGAAACTATATATGAGAGCTATATCTAAATCTGAACCGATTTCCACGAAACTTAGCACACATCATTCTAGACCTAATTCAGTAGGCTATACCAAATTTCGTGCAAATCGAAAGATATATAGGAACTTTGGTGCATCATGTACCTTAAATCGGGCGAAACTATATAAGGGAGCTATATCTAAATCTGAACCGATTTTCACGAAATTTAGCGCACGTCATTCTAGACTTAATTCAATACGCTATTCCAAAGTTCGTGCAAATCAAATGATTTTTAGGGACTTTGGTACACCATTCACCTTAAATCGGACGAAAATATGTATGAGAGCTATATCCAAATCTGAACCGATTTTCAGGAAAATTAACCCACATCATTCTAGACCAAATTCAGTAGGCTGTACCAAATTTCGTGCAAATCGAAAGATATATAGGAACTTTGGTGCATCATGTACCTTAAATTTAGCACACGTCATTCTAGACTTAACTCAATACGCTATTCCAATGTTCATACAAATCAAATGATTTTTAGGGACTTTCGTACACCATTTACCTAAAATCGGGCGAAACTATATATGGGAGCTATATCTTAATCTGAACCGATTTCCACGAAACTTAGCACACGTCATTGCAGACCTAATTCAGTAGGCTATACCAAATTTCGTGCAAATCGAAAGTGATATAGGAACTTTGGTGCATCATGTACCTTAACGATTTTCACGAAACTTAGCACACGTCATTCTAGACTTAATTCAATACGCTATTGCAAATTTCGTGCAAATCGAATGATATATAGGTGCTTTGGTGCACCATTTACATAAAAACGATCGAAAATATATATGGGAGCTATATCTAAATCTGAACCGATTTTCAAGAAATTGTACACACATTGTTCTAGACTTAATTTAGTACACTACGCCGAATTTCGTGCAAATCGAAAGCTATTTAGATACTTAGGTGGACGATTTACCTTAAATCGGATGAAAATATATATGGGAGCTATTCCTAAATCTGAACCGATTTCCCAATTTCAATAGGGTTCGTCCTTGGGCCGAATGAATGAGCTGTGCCAAATTTCATCCAATTCGAATAATAAATGCGACCTGTACTTTGTTTACAATTTAACATGGACATAAATCGACGTAGAAAGTGGTTCTATGCATATTCTCAAAAGGAACCATGTGTCTATCTCGTTTCGTTTTACCTGTTACAAACATATGCACAAAGACATAATACCCTGTACCACAGTGTGGTGAAGGGTATAAAAAAACATCAATAAAAGTATGTCAATTAATTTTCTTATGCATTAATAGCCTGTTAACGATAAGTTATTTATTTGTGACAGAAAGCAAATCTGATTCGAGTGACTACAATTCGTCCGCTTAGTTACAAAGTTACAAGACTTCAATGTAATTTGCGTAAACATTAATATCATTAACTCAAGTTTCGGGTTAACCACCTTATAACGGTATCCTCAATATTCCGCATTTTGGTGTGGATGTAATTTTATCAATCTATATTCAGCCTCCCTATGAAAAATTATTATTATTGACTCAAATTTCGTGGTAGACCATATATTACGGTAAACCCCAATATTCGGAATTTTGGGGATGTTTTGCATGGGTACTTGTTGTAATTTAGTATTTCATTTTCGCACTGGAAGACCCCTAATTCAGATTCGTGGAATTGAAAATCTCCCTATTGAAATTTATCTTTACGGCTTTAATTTTCCAGGTCCCATATAGTATACTTATATTTCAAACTACGAGAAACGGCCACTGCCTTTTGTATTAGATTTTTATACCCTCCACCATAGTATGGAGAGTATATAAATTTTGTCATTCCGTTTGTAACTCATCGAAATATTAATTTCCGACCCTATAAAGTATATATATTCTTGATCAGGGTAAAATTCTAAGACGATCTAGCCATGTCCGTTCGTATGTCCGTCCGTCAGTCTGTGGTAATCACGCTATCTTCTGAAGGAATTGAGATAGGGTGCTGAAATTTGGCATAGGGTTGTCTTTTGTCTGCAGGCAGGTCAAGTTCCAAGATGGGATATATCGGTCCACGTTTAAGCATAGCTCCCATAAACGTACCCCTCAATTTTCGGTATTTTGGGGTTCTTGAGCGCGTTTTTGAACCGAATTCATTGAAATTTAGTACATTAGGTTCCTGTTGGGTACTAAATGTCTACACAAAAAATTATAAATATAGGACCACTTTTGCTGGTAGCCCCCATATAACGGTACCTCCTAATTTTCAGTTTTTTTGGGGGGTTTTGATCATATTTTTCCACCGAATTGTCTGTAATTTAGTATTTTGAGTTCTTAAAAGGTTCCAAATATCTCCACAAAAAATTATGAGCATAGGTCCATTTTTTCGGGTAGCACCCATATAAGGGTACCCCCAATTTTCGGTATTTTGGGGTTCTTGAGGGCGTTTTTCAACCGAATTCGCTGAAATTTGGTACATTGGGTTCTTAATGGGTACCAAATATCTCCACTAAAAATTATAAATATAAGTCCATTTTTTCTGGTAGCTCCCATATAATGGTACCCCCAAATTTCGGTATTTTGAGGTTCTTGAGCGCGTTTTTCAACCGAATTCACTGAAATTTGGCCATAGCCGTATATGGTAACAAATCTCGCAACCATAAATAATACCCCTTTTAGGGGTAGTCCCCAAAAGGGGTATTAATAATCAACCCCTTTTAGGGGTAGTCCCCATATAACCCCATTTTCTATATTAAAATAATTATCTGATTTTTTCACGTTTTGGGTTTGGTTCTAACACTCTGCTGTAATCATTTCACCTGTGAAGGATATCGAGATAAAAAAACTAGAACGTATGGTTCGATAATGAACCATATGTGAACTATAGCCCGCATTTTGTCTTAGCCGTAGCCCCTGTGATACCAGAAGGCATGAACCGATATTCTCCAAATTCGGACTTGAACTAAGTTTGGAAGAAGTAATACGACGAGATGAAATCAAATTTTTCTGAAACGGATTTGGTCCAAAGAAACATGGGGTCTAGACCCAATATTTCGATGAGGCACATTTTCACCGTGTGAAAGTGTATACACACTAATTAGCCATAAAGCTGAGGGTATAATTTTCTATTAAAAATTATTGTTTACATAATCGGTTTGTAAAAATGTCGGTATAGGACCATTTTTTGGTATGTTCCCTTTATTTTCATTTCAAGTGCCTGCCAGTATATCCATGATGGAGGGTATCCAAAGTTCGGCCCGGCTGAACTTAACGCTTTTTCACTTGTTATCAATAGTCCTACACAGAATAGGAGATAAAAGAGGTTTAATTATTTCAGATGTTCAAAACTAATTCAGGGCTACATTATATTAGTCGGTGGTCCTGACAACGGAGCATATCACATTTGTATATGGAAATTGTGACTCAAATATCACCTATTTCCATTTTCTACATGTACTATTTCGCCTGATTCATTTTTTTTGTCATATTTTTTATTAGATGTCAAAGTACCTTTAACTAGAAGCCACTTTCTAAAAATTGTCCCATTATACCCCAGGAGCATTTCCATATAATATAGTATATTTGTGGGAATTTCCTACTGTAATCTTCCATATTTAAATGGTCACAGATAACTATTTTCTTGTTTTGTAAATAAAAATTATTTAATTATATTATTAAAATAAAATAACATGAGTAAATTATATAGTCATATAAGCTCTATTATAGTCATCACTCTTCTTGGTAATTTCTTAGAATTCCGCAAAAGTGTGCCAGTACTGTGAGTAACTTTAAAAAAGCGAAACACCATGATAACTACGGAGAGTAGTTATTGGTCAAGTGTTATTAATTTCATTTGTAAGTTGGCTGATAAATCAATAATACACATTTACTAATAAATCTAAGTCGTAATATCTGGAATTATTTCTTTTAAAAAAGTGCATTCCTATTTTGCGGATTTGACTACAACTTGTATTTTGAGCCATAAAGATTTCGATATAACTTGGTCATCGTCAGTCGAAAATTTTAATGTATTTTTACAAATAAATCCCTGGACTTTGAACGGATCCTTTTCAAAGGATATATACAATTTTGAGGAACAAGATAAGCGATATAGTGAGGATGGTATCTATTATGATGATTGGACTAAAAAATATGTGGCAGCTATAGCACAGGCAAATTGTGAGGTTGGGATAAACTTTTTTTTATAATTTGGAAAAATATTCTGACTGTTCAACTTTAGGGTTTTGTGGCATTTCAAGATGACATACCCAGATTTGCGGAGACTTATCGCATGGCCAGTGTATATTCCATATGGCGTTCATATGGATCGAAATTTCTATTTATTTACACGAAGGAGAAATCAGAGGGAGGATTATTTTCAAGATTTGTTATTTAAAAGTAAGTATACCCTAAAAATATTTCCTCAGACTTCTATTAATTGTAAAAACTCCCTTTAGATGCCGTCAACATTTTAGTCATTGAATCGGATTATAAAAATTCCTCACAGTTCAACATAAAAACAAATAAATTTGTTGGTTCGTTTTTCGAAAAACCCCACGAATTACTGCAGATGACCCAATTCGATGCTTTGACCGGAAGATTTGAACCGAATGTGGATTTATCTTTGAAAAATAAATTACAAAATTTACAAGGACGTGAAATTATTGTAGGGGCCTTCGATTATCGCCCCTTTATGGTTGTAGATTTTCATAGCGTACCCGAAAACTATGATCATGCCGAGGATAATCTACGACATTTGGTCCATATTGATGGTACAGAAATGCGTATTGTTCATACATTTTGTGAACTATACAATTGTAGTGTTCAGGTGGATACATGTAAGTTGAGATCCGCTAATTTGTATACTCTTCACCACACTGTGGTACAGGGTATTATGTCTTTGTGCATATGTTTGTAACAGGCAAAAATAATCGAGATATACCCATGGTTCCTTTTTAGAATATACATAGAATCACTTTCTAAGTCGATTTATGCATGTCCGTCCGTCTGTACGTCCGTCTGTCTGTCCATGTTAAATTGTAAACAAAGTACAGGTCGCATTTATAATCCGAATTGGATGAAATTTGGCATAGGTCACTTATTCGGCCCAAGGACGAACCCTATTGAAATTGGGAAAAACCGGTTCAGATTTAGATATAGCTCCCATATATATATTTAATGGAATGATCTCTGCCAAGTTTCGGAAAAATCGGTCCAGATTTAGATATAGCTCCCATATATAGTTTCGTCCGATTTCATGTAAATGGTGCACCAAAGTCCCTATATATCTTTCGATTTGCACGAAATTTGGTACAGCCTAATCACTTAGGTCTAGAACGACGTCTGCCAAGTTTCATGAAAATCGGTCCTGATTTAGATATATCTCCCATATATAGTTTCGTCCGAATGGTGCCCTAAAGTCCCTATATATTTTTCGATTTGCACGAAATTTGGTACAGCCTAATTATTTAGGTTTAGAATGATGTCTGCCAAGTTTCGTGAAAATCGGTCCAGATTTAGATAGATATAGCCCTTTTTATTATAGATTGATTTTTAGTAATTGACGCACCATATATACTTTCGCCCGATTTCAAGTAAATTCCTCCTCATGTTAGTCAGATTAACATCAAAGTTTGCACATCGTACAAAATTCAGCATAAAATTATATAGTTGCGTTTTCTAGAATTACACACATAGCCCAACGGATGACCTATTTACATTTGTTTGAAGTCGATTTACATACTTTATGGATAGATCTAGGTAGATTCACATTTAGATAAATATCACATATTTTATTTCATCCAATTTCATGCTAATAGTCCTGTTTAATATACCCATAGTGGTGAAGGGTATCATATAGTCGGCCCCGTCCGACTTTACTTCTTTCCTTACTGGTTTTATTTTCAAAAAATTCAGTGTTGATAAATTTATTTTATTTCCTCTGTTTTGAAAGCTGAAAAATCGGAATGGGGTATGGTATACCCAAACTATACAGCCGATGGTCTACTTGGTCTGATTGTTGAGGGAAAAACCCATATGGGCATGGGGGCATTTTTTCAATGGTAAGTTATAATCTTACCGGTCGTGGAAACAATTATGGATATCTGCCCATAGCAATAAGACATCCTTTTCTATTTCAGGTACATAGCCTACAGAAGCATCGAACAGACAACATTTCTGGGTAGATCTGGTGTAACATGTTTGGTGCCTGTACCGACTCGTGTCACAACATGGGCTTTGCCTATTAGCCCCTTTACCTATACCCTGTGGTTGGCGGTAGCATTTTGTTTATTTTTGGAAGCATTTGCATTATTTTTGGCTAGACTTTTCGAGGAGAGGCAAATTATGCAACTGGAAGACGGGACTATATGGTCGAGCATTGAATTTGGCTATACAACAACACTAAAGCTATTTATATCACAAGGTTCTGATTATGTGGTTAATTCACATACGGTCAGGATGGTACTCTTCGCCTGCTATATGATTGATATTATTGTGACGAGTATTTATGCCGGGGGTCTATCGGCCATATTGACATTGCCGGAGTAAGAAAATAGGAAACTAACAACAAAGAGATATATTTTATTTCAGGTCATTGTTTTATTTATAGCCTTGAAGAGGCTGCCGATTCTGTGGAACGTATGTATAGCCACAACCTGACATGGACGGCAACATCCTATGATTGGGTGGCCTCAATTGCCGATGAAGAAACTGGTGTCGTTGATGTTGGTTTCGAATATGGAAATTTAGAACTTAATTCCAAATAATATTAAGTATTTCCTTCCAGCCCCTGATGCAACGCCTTGTAAACAATTATATCATCAGCAGCCGTGAAGAAATGCGCCGCAAAGCTCAAACCGATAATATAGGTTTTGCTTTGGAACGTATGGCATTTGGACATTTTGGCAACGGTCACTTTATTACCCCCGAATCTTTAGATCGTCTGAAGCTCATGGTTGATGATATCTATTATGTATTTACCGTGGCCATGGTGCCACGTATGTGGGCCCATCTACCCAAATATAATGATTTAATATTGGCTCGGCATTCATCGGGTTTTTCGAAATATTGGGAATGGAAAATCGTCGCCGACTATATGAATGCCAATGAACAGAATCAAGTGCAGGCATCTATGTTTACACAATTGGATGTGGGACCCGTCAAATTGGATATGAAAAATTTTGCGGGGCTTATTGTACCATGGATTATAGGGATAATTATAAGTATAATGGCTTTTATTGGGGAATGGATTCATTATTGGTGGTGTAAGAGAAGACTAGGTGGTGGTGTAATTCACGCCGATGAATTGATATAATTTTCAATAACTTAAATATATAGAAGAACTGTGTTTTTGCACATTAGAAGTAGAGAAGTTATTTCAATAATTTTTAATTCGTCGATAAAATACAATAATAAATTACGGATATTGCACGATTAAAATAAATACATTTATTAATATAACATATTTTTAATATAAAACTAACATAAGGGAGAAGGAGCCAAAATATTGGAATCTGCCAGAATATGTTATTTGGGTGGCGTAAGGGATGATAGATAACAAGCAGTGGCTCTGGTTGGCTTTAACATGGTGAAGTCCAGGTTTATCTTGAATTAAAAATTCTCAATTGTGGACACTGACTGAGTTCACCTTATGAAATATAAAGAAGTGAAAAAAGCGTTAAGTTCGGACGGGTCGAACTTTGGATACCCTCCGCCATAGGTATACTGAAAGTTACTTAAAATGAAAATATAGGGAACATGGCAAAAAGTGGACCTATACCGACAGTTCTACAAACCGAATAACAATCATGTACACCAAATTAAAATTTCAACGATTTTTAATCGATATTTTTCATAAAATCTGAAAACCCCAAAACGTGGACCGATATTGATTACGAGAGTGAATCATGTGTATAAAATCCTCAAACTACTGAGGGGGACCAAAATTGATTACATAGCTAGGAATTAGCTATCATTATATGAGGGACTATGCCTAATTAATGACCGAAATAGCTCGATTTCGAACCCAATATTTTAGTTTCGTATCTCAATTCTTTCCTTCAGGAGGTATCATTGCATGGGGAAGATGCCTAAATGCTGGCCGATACATTTCATTATCCTACGGTTCGAGTTTTTTTTTTCATTTTTATCACGATATCCTTAGATGGCGGAATGATTACAACATAGTGATTACAACAGACAGACGGACATTCTAAAATCGTCATAAAATTTTACTCTGATCAAGAATATATATACTTTATAGGGTCGGGAATGATTATTTCCGAAAAACAAAACTAATATACCCTCCATACTATGGTGGAGGGTATAAAAAAATGGGTTGAGGCGTCGGGTTAGTTGCCCACACTCGGAAAAAAATTAATACTATGAAAGAGCACGAAAACGAAAAAACCCTTATGTTGACGACCCCCGCAAACGTATAAAGCACCACGATCTGCCAATCTGCACTTGGAATGTGCGCACGTTGTACAGAACAGTTTTGCCTTGGCGGATGTACTCACGGGGTACAAAGCCGATATTATTGCCTTACAGGAAATGCGATGAAAAGGGACTGGCGTAAGTAAATCAGATGATTACGCCCTGGTATATGGCTGCCATGAAACGAGACATGAATTTGGTTGCGAATTTATGGTTAACAGGAGAATAAAAGACCTTGTCTCCAGATTCACTTCAGTAGATGAGCGAATTGCTATAATCCGTATAAAAGCGAAGTTCTTCTACATCAGTCTCATTTGAGCCGACGTCCCGACCGAAGATAAATATGAACAGACCAAAGACATTTTTTACGTCCGTCTAGAAACTGCATATGACCGCTACCCTGGTTATGCCATTAAAGTTCTGCTAGGAAATGTTAATGCAAAAATATCTTTGGCCCCACCGTCGGAAAATTCAGCCTCCATGAAGAAACATCGGACAAGGACATGAGGTTGATTGACTTCGCGGCAGAAAAAAACATGGTAGTTAGCAGCACCAGATTCAAGCATCTCGATATACACAAGGCCACCTGGATTTCTTCTGATCAAGCAACGAGAAATCAAATTGATCATGTTGTGATAGACGGAAGGCATTCATCCAGTGTATTAGACGTTCGATCGATACGAGGAGCGAATGTCGATTCGAACCACTACCTTGTAGCAGCCAAGGTTCGCACTCGTCTTAATGTAGCAGCAAAGGTTCGTCGAAAAGCTGCAAACACAACAGATAGCAGAGGCCTACTCCGCTCAACTTACCCACTTGCTTGACGAAAGCACTCCTTGCCCAATAATAATATAGAAGCCGACTATATGATACCCTTTACCACTTTGGCTATATTCAAGAGATGCATCCTAACAGACCTCGCATTTTTGAAGCACCATTGACATGAAAGTGACTACTATACTACGCTCGGTTCACATATAGACACATATATATGAACCTAGCACTGTTGAAGATATAATCTCCAGTTCATCCCCAATTATTAGTTCATTATTTTGTGCACCCTTTAATTCTTTGGTGCACAATTTACTAAAAATCGGACGAACATATATACGGGACCTATATCTAAATCAGAACCGATTTCAATAAAACTTAGAAAACTTTACGCTATCATAACTTCAGTTAGTTGTGCAAAATTATAAACGATAACTTATTTGTGATAGAAAGCGAATCTGATTCGAGTGATTACCATTCGTCCGAAAAGACTTTCAGATTTAGATATTGCTCCCATTTATAGTTACGTCTGATTTAAGGTAAATGGTGTACAAAAGTCCCTATATATCTTTCCATTTGCATGAAATTTGGTATAGCCTACTGAATTAGGTCTAGAATGATGTATGCTAAGTTTCGTGAAAATCGGTTCAGATTTAGATATAGCTCCCATATATAGTTCCGGATGATTTCAGGTCAATGGTGCACCCAAGTCCCTGAAAATGATTTGATTTGCACGAAATTTGGCATAGCGTATTGAATTAAGTCTAGAATGACTTGTGCTAAGTTTCGTGAAAATCGGTTCAGATTTAGATATAGCTCCCATATATAGTATCGCCCGATTTTATGTAAATGGTTTACCAAAGTCCCTATATATCTTTCGATTTGCACGAAATTTGATATAGTCTATTGAATTAGGTCTAGAATGATGTATGCTAAGTTTCCTGAAAATCGGTTCAGATTTACATATAGGTCCCATATATAGTTGCGGCCGATTTTAGGTAAATGGTGCACCAAAATCCCTGAAAATGATTTGATTTGCACGAATTTTAGCATAGCGTATTGAATTAGGTCTATAATTACTTGTGCCAATTTTCGGTTCAGATTTAGATATAGCTCCCATATATAGTATCGCCCGATTTTAGGTAAATGGTGTACCAAAGTCTCTATATATCTTTCGATTTGCACGAAATTTGGTATAGCCCACTGAATCAGGTCTAGAATGATGTGTGCTAAGTTTCGTGAAAATCGGTTGAGATTTAGATATAGTTTCCATATATAGTTTCGCCCGATTTTAGGTAAATGGTGCACCAAAGTCCCTGCAAATCTTTTGATGGGCAAGAATTTTGGCATACCGTGCTAAATTAAGTCTAGAATGATGTGATGGTTTTAAGTAAATTGTGCACTAAAGATCCATAGCTAGGCCGATTGACACAACGTACTGAAGTTTATATAAATTAAAATCTGGCAGGTTTGCTTGAAATCGGTTCAGATATAGATATAACTTAGCTTCGATATATAATTTCGACTTATTTATGTTGATTGTACACCAAATTATCAATGATCAAAACTTATTCAAGACTACATTATATTAGTCGGTGGTTCTGACAACGGAGCTATCACATTTGTATATGGAAATTGTGACTCAAATATCACTTATTTCCATTTTCTACATATACTATTTCGCTCGATTAATTTTTTTTTTTTTTTTTTTGTCATATTTTTCATTAGATGTCAGAGTACTTTTAACTAGAAGCCACTTTCTAAAATTTGCCCCATTGTACCCCAGGAGCATTTCCATATAATATAGTATATTTCTTCATTGATTGATTATCTAGTGAGAATTAAATGCTCACAGATAACTATTTTCTTGTTTTGTAAATAAAAATTATTTAATTACATTATTAAAATAAAATGACATGAGTAAATTATATAGCTCTATTATAGTCATCACTCTTCTTAGTAATTTCTCTGAATTCCGCAATAATTTGCCAGTACTGTGAGTAACTTTTAAATAGTGAAACATCATGATAACTACGGAGAGTAGTTATTGGCATAGTGTTGTTAATTTAATTTGTAAGTTGGGCGAAAAATCAATAATACCCATTTATTGTTAAATCTTAATAAATTTTGCTGGAACTAAAATTCTTATTTAAGTGCATTCCTATTTTGCGGATTTGACTACAACTTGTATTTTGAGCCATTAAGATTTCGATATAACTTGGCCATCGTCAGTCGAAAATTTTAATGTATTTTTACAAATAAATCCCTGGACCTTAAATGAATCCTTTTCAAAGGATATATACAATTTTGAGGAACAAGATAAGCAATATAGTGAGGATGGTATATATTATGATGATTGGACTAAAAAATATGTGGCAGCTATAGCACAGGCAAATTGTGAGGTTGGGATAAACTTATTTTTTATAATTTGGAAAAATATTCTGACTGTTAAACTTTAGGGTTTTGTGGCATTTCAAGATGACATACCCAGATTTGCTGAAATTTATCGTATGGCCAGTGTATATTCCATATGGCGTTCATATGAATCGAAATTTTTATTTATCTACACGAAGGAGAATCAGAGGGAGGATTATTTTCAAGATTTGTTATTTAAAAGTAGGTATATCCTAAAAATACTTCCTCCGACTTCTATAAATTGCAAAAAACTCCCTTTAGATGCCGTCAACATTTTAGTCATTGAATCGGATTATAAAAATTCCTCGCAATTCAATATAAAAACAAATAAATTTGTTGGCTCCTTTTTCGATAAACCCCACGAATTACTGCAGATGACCCAATTCGATGCTTTGACCGGAAGATTTGAACCGAATGTGGATTTATCTTTGAAAAATAAATTACAAAATTTACAAGGACGTGAAATTATTGTAGGGGCCTTCGATTATCGGCCCTTTATGGTGGTAGATTTTCATAGCGTACCCGAAAACTATGATCATGCCGAGGACAATCCACGACATTTGGTCCATATTGATGGTACTGAAATGCGTATTGTTCATACATTTTGTGAGCTATATAATTGTAGTGTTCAGGTGGATACATGTAGGTTGAGACCCGCTAAATTATTAATTTTCAAAAAATTCAGTGTTGATAATTTAATTTATTTCTTATTTTTTGAAAGCCGAAAAATCTGAATGGGGTATGGTATATCCCAACTATACAGCCGATGGTCTGCTTGGTCTGATTGTTGAGGGAAAAACACATATGGCCATGGGGGCTTTTTTTCAATGGTAAGTTATAATCTTACAGGTCGGGGAAACAATTATGGATATCGGCCCATAGCAATAAGTCATCCTATTCAATTTCAGGTACATAGCCTACAGAAGCATCGAACAGACAACATTTCTGGGTAGATCTGGTATAACATGTTTGGTGCCTGCACCGACTCGTGTCACAACATGGGCTTTGCCTATTAGCCCATTTACATATACCCTGTGGTTGGCTGTAGCAGTTTGTTTATTTGTGGAAGCATTGGCATTATTTTTGGCCAGACTTTTCGAGGAGCGGGAAATTATGCAACTAGAAGACGGAACTATATGGTCGAGCATTGAATTTGGCTATACAACAACACTAAAGCTATTTATATCACAAGGTTCAGATTATGTGGTTGATTCACATACGGTCAGGATGGTATTATTCGCCTGCTATATGATTGATATTATTGTGACGAGTATTTATGCAGGGGGTCTATCGGCCATATTGACATTACCGGAGTAAGAAGCGAGGTAACACCAACGAGAGAAAGGGATTTTATTTCGTGTCTTTGTTATATTTACAGCCTTGAGGAGGCAGCCGATTCTGTGGAACGTATGTATAGTCACAACCTGACATGGACGGCAACATCCTATGATTGGGTGGCATCCATTGCCGATGAAGAAACTGGTGTCGTTGATGTTAGATTTAAATGTGCAATTTTTGAATTTAATTTCAAATAATAAAACTTCTTTCCTTTCAGCCCCTGATGCAAGGCCTTGTAAACAATTACATCATTAGCAGCCGGGAGGAAATGCGCCGCAAGGCTCAAACGGATAATATAGGTTTTGCTTTGGAACGTATGGCTTTTGGACATTTTGGTAATGGCCATTTTATTACACCCGAATCTTTGGACCGTCTGAAGCTAATGGTTGATGATATCTATTATGTATTCACTGTGGCCATGGTGCCACGTATGTGGGCCCATCTACCCAAATATAATGATTTAATATTGGCTTGGCATTCATCGGGATTTTCAAAATACTGGGAATGGAAAATCGTCGCTGACTATATGAATGCCAATGAACAGAATCAAGTGCAGGCATCTATGTTTACACAATTGGATGTGGGACCCGTCAAATTGGATATGAACAATTTTGCCGGTCTAATTGTACCATGGATTATAGGTATAATTATAAGTATAATGGCTTTTATTGGGGAATGGATTCATTATTGGTGGTGTAAGAGAAGCCAAGGTGGTGGTGGTGGTGTAATACACACCGAAGAATTGATATAATTAACAAGATTTTAAATATATATTAGCACAATATTTTTTTGAAAACTAGAAAAAACACGCCTTCAAAAAAAATACATGCTGAAATTCTATAAATAAAATACGGAACTTGCACGATAAATAATGTAATTTTAAAGATCTCTCTTTAGCATTTTAACAGACAAAAAACTGTTGAAGAGCGTTTGTACTTTGGATGGTCATATATGAATACTTCCAGGGTCCAGGCACTATAATTTTGCTTCGGTACCAAAGAAATCTGTATATCTTGGGGAGAGGACGAGGACTAGCTCTGCCACTACTGCCTTTAAGAGGTACAGATTGATCTGCATATCCTAAAGACACTGCTGCTGTTGATTAATTTTGTACGAATGGAAGGCAGGCTCGGATTTACTCCAATCCGTACACAAGAACGTCTGTTCTCCTCCTCTATTCCTCTGACAGACGACTGGTGTGAAGACTGGTGTACTATTTAAGTAATTTTGTACGAATAGAAGGCATGCACGGATTTGCTCCAATCCGACACGAGAACATCTCCTCCTCCTCCTCTTTCCTCCGAGAGACGACCGCCACCTATGTGAAGACTGGGGTACTATTTCTCGAACAACCACTATTTTTCTGCCAATTCTAAAAGATCAGATAGGAACCACACAGACAACGTGCATGGAATTTCGACATCCGGTACACTTGCCTTCTCAAATGTAGTTCAAGGTCACTCTCTGCCTTAAGAAAGAGGCCAAGAGACTCATTATTCCCACAATTGACATCACTGCAGTTGATGCACCAACCTTTAGCAAAATGGTCTTTTAAAACTGACTGATACGCACAGTGGGCGAAAAGGCTTATCTAGCGGCGTTTAATTAATAGCGCTTATGGATTTTGTTTTTTATTTTTTGTAATATTTTTATACCCTTCACCACACTGTGGTACAGGGTATTATGTCATTGTGCATATGTTTGTAACAGACAAAAGGAAACGAGATAGACACATGGTTCCTTTTGAGAATATGCATAGAATCACTTTTTAAGTCGATTTATGCATGTCCGTCCGTCTGTCCGTCTGTTGGTGTTAAATTGTAAACAAAGTACAGGTCGCATTTATAATCCGAATTGGATGAAATTTGGCACAGGTCACCTATTCGGCCCAAGGACGAACCCTATTGAAATTGGAAGAAACCGGTTCAGATTTAGATATAGCTCCCATATATATATATTTAACCGATTTAATGTAAACGGTCCCTATATATTTTTCGATTTCCACGAAATTTGGTACAGCCTAATCATTTAGGTCTAGAATGATGCCTGCCAAGTTTCGTAAAAATCGGTCCAGATTTAGATATAGCTCCCATATATAGTTTCGTCCGATTTCATGTAAATGGTGCCCCAAAGTCCCTATATATCTTTTGAGTTGCACGAAATTTGGCATAACGTACTGAATAAAGCCTAGAGTGATGTCTGCCAAGTTTCGAGAAAATCGGTCCAGATTTAGATATAGCTCCCATATATAGTTTCGTCCGATTTCATGTAAATGGTGCCCCAAATTCCCTATATATCTTTCGATTTGCACGAAATTTGGCATAACGTACTGAATTGAGCCTAGAATGATGTCTACCAACTTTCGAGAAAATCGGTACAGATTTAGATATAGCTCCCATATATAGTTTCGTACGATTTCATGTAAATGGTGCACCACAGTCCCTATATATCCTTCGATTTGCACGAAAATTGGCATAACGTACTTAATTGAGCCTAGAATGATGTCTGCCAAGTTTCATGAAAATCGGTCCTGATTTAGATATATCTCCTATATATAGTTTCGTCCGATTTCATGTAAATGGTGCCCCAAAGTCTCTATATATCTTTCGATGTGCACGAAATTTGGTACAGCCTAATCATTTAGGTTTAGAATGATGTCTGCCAAGTTTCGTGAAAATCGGTCCAGAATTAGATAGATATAGCCCTTTTTATTATAGATTGATTTTTAGTAATTGACGCACCATATATATTTTCGCCCGATTTCAAGTAAATTGGGTATCAAACTCCTCATGTTAGTCAGATTGACATCAAAGTTTGCACATCGTACAAAATTCGGCTTAAAATTTATAGTTGCGTTTTCTAGAAGTACACACATAGCCCAACGGATGGCCTATTTATATTTGTTTGAAGTCGATTTACATACTTTATGGATAGATCTAGGTAGATTCACATTTAGATAAATATCACATATTTTATTTCATCCAACTTCATGCTAATAGTCCTTTTCTTTCTTACGACTTTACTTCTTTCTTAATGGTTTTATTTTCAACAAATTCAGTGTTGATAAATTTATTGTATTTCCTCTGTTTTGAAAGCTGAAAAATCTGAATGGGGTATGGTATACCCAAACTATACAGCCGATGGTCTACTTGGTCTGATTGTTGAGGGAAAAACCCATATGGGCATGGGGGCATTTTTTCAATGGTAAGTTATAATCTTACCGGTCGGGGAAACAATTATGGATATAGGCCCATAACAATAAGTCATAATTTTCTATTTCAGGTACATAGCCTACAGAAGCATCGAACAGACAACATTTCTGGGTAGATCTGGTGTAACATGTTTGGTGCCTGTACCGACTCGTGTCACAACATGGGCTTTGCCTATTAGCCCATTTACCTATACCCTGTGGTTGGCGGTAGCATTTTGTTTATTTTTGGAAGCATTGGCATTATTTTTGGCCAGACTTTTCGAGGAGCGGCAAATTATGCAACTAGAAGACGAGACTATATGGTCGAGTATTGAATTTGGCTATACAACAACACTCAAGCTATTTATATCACAAGGTTCGGATTATGTGGTTGATTCACATACGGTCAGGATGGTACTGTTCGCCTGCTATATGATTGATATTATTGTGACAAGTATTTATGCAGGGGGTCTATCGGCCATATTGACATTGCCGGAGTAAGAAAATAGGAAACTAACAACAAAGAGATAGATTTTATTTCAGGTCATTGTTATATTTACAGCCTTGAGGAGGCTGCCGATTCTGTGGAACGTATGTATAGTCACAACCTGACATGGACGGCAACATCCTATGATTGGGTGGCCTCAATTGCCGATGAAGAAACTGGAGTCGTTGATGTTGGTTTCGAATATGGAAATTTAGAATTTAATTCCAAATAGTATTAAGTATTTCCTTCCAGCCCCTGATGCAACGCCTTGTAAACAATTATATCATCAGCAGCCGTGAAGAAATGCGCCGCAAGGCTCAAACGGAAAATATAGGTTTTGCTGTGGAACGTATGACATTTGGACATTTTGGGAACGGCCACTTTATTACCCCTGAATCTTTGGATCGTTTGAAGCTAATGGTTGATGACATGTTTTATGTATTTACCGTGGCCATGGTGCCACGTATGTGGGCCCATCTACCCAAATATAATGATTTAATATTAGCCTGGCATTCGTCGGGTTTTTCGAAATATTGGGAATGGAAAATCCTCGCCGACTATATGAATGCCAATGAACAGAATCAAGTGCAGGCATCTATGTTTACACAATTGGATGTGGGACCCGTCAAACTGGATATGAACAATTTTGCCGGCCTAATTGTACCATGGATTATAGGTATAATTATCAGTATAATGGCTTTTATTGGGGAATGGATTTATTATTGGTGGTGTAAGAAAGATTAGGTGCGGCTGTAATACACACCGAAAAATTGATATAATTATCACGATTTTAAATATATATTAGCACTATATTTTTGCAGACTAGAAAAAAACACGCCTTTAAAAAATACATGCCGAAATACTATTAATAAAATACGGAACTTGCACGATATGTACCAGAGAAATCTGTATATCTTGGGGAGAGGGCGAGGATTAGCTCTGCCGCTACTGCCTTAAAGTTGTACAGATTGATCTGCATGTCCTACAGATACTGCTGCATTTGAGTAATTCTGTACGAATGGAAGGCAGACAGGGATTTACTCCAATCCGTACACGAGAACATCTCTTCTCCTCTTCTATTCTTCTGAGAGAGAGCTACCCGTGCGAAGACTGGGGTACTGTTTCTCGAACATCCTCTGATCAGTTCCAAAAGAAGAAGTAGGAACCACACAGAGATAATTAAAACGCAGTGGATTTCGACAACCGGCACACTTGACCTATAACTACCCTCCCAAATTTGACTCAAGATCATTCTCTACCTTAAGAAAGTGGTCGGAAGACTCTTTATTCCCACACCCTGCATACCTGCAACCGTTGATGGGTCTTTAGCAAAATGGCATTTAGATACTACCCGAGTTGCAACCAATGACTGATACGTCGGTTTGGATTAGTTTTGCCAATGATGCCCTCTCTTTAATCATCTGAGACCATTTCTAGTGTTGGTGTGGGCTTTGGAGGTCCTTGTGAGTCTTTGAAGGCCAATCAATCCAGTAAATGTTTTTCATAAGAGGTTGCATTAAAGACACAATGTTGAACAATCGGTTTGTAGCAGGCCGCTGTTCCTCTGTAAATCTCATTCTAAGACACAGAAGGTTCAACAGTTTGCATCGATGATGGATTCTTTGCGGCAGGCTGTCGATTCTTTAACCTGTGGAGTTTTGGTCTTTTGAAAATCACGTACATCAAGCACATCTTTTGAGGATCGCGTACATTTTCTCGCCCTTTAGGTGTTTTCTAATTAGAATTCTGGGGAGAAATTAATGACCGTAGTGTCAGCATCGTCATCTTTGTCCGTCATCGAGTTATATCGTTTCATATGCCAACTGAGATTCTTCTCTAACATAGGCGAAATCAACGAGATTTATCCATACGGTTTAGGAGTGATTCGCCTTGTCTAGTAATGTAATTCTACCCAGCTTCTCGCCGAAGAGGCTGAGATTGTATTTTTACATTAATAGAAGAGTTCATGTCACAGTTTTGCATCAGTGTATTTGCTCTTGTGTTATTTGAGAATGCAGGTTCCAAGGCAACCACCACTAATTCAGACGTAAATTTAGATTAAGTTAGCTTCCTCACCATTGGAAGGTCTTGGTAATTAAGTCTAATATTATTTGGGGCAACATTGCACATTCCTTCTCCTGACCACATACCCTTAAGCACTGAAAGGCAATAAGTTGCAAAGTAAGAAAAGAGGAACACATTTGGGGCGCCAATAATCGCCTCTGCTATCCAAGAACCATTGGAATTAGCCATTTCCTCCTATATTCGCTTTTTAGACCCACTGACTCTACACAACAGATATCGGAAGCTTACTCCGTTCAACTTACCCACGACGAAATCACTCCTTGTCCCGATAATATAGAAGCACAATGGCAAAGAATTGCCCACTCCCTACAAAAATGCAGCAAAAGCAACACTTGGGTACCAAAAATCGCCATCAAGAAACCAATTGTAAGATCAGGAGTGTCGGAATGCTACTGATGTGAAAAACTGCAGACAGTAGCTACTGATGTGAAAAACTGCAGACAGTAGCAACACGTAATCCGATGGAGAATTATCGGGAGAAAAGGAGAGACGATATGTGCCAACTATAGAGGACTAAGTATCCTTCCCATCTCATATAAAGTGTTATCAAGCGTGACGTGTGAACGACTGAAGCCAATAGTCAACGACATTATTGGACCACAGCAATGTGACTTCAGACTTGGCTAATCCACCATTGACCAGATTTTCACTCTACGCCAAATCATGGAAAAAACCCACGAAAAACACATCGAAACATTCCACCTATTCGTCGAGTATAAAGCCCTATCTGTTCAGTGGTGCTTAAAGCCATGTCTGCGCTCGGCATTTCTGCAAAATTAATACGGCTATGCAGGATAACTTTAACTGGCACAAGTTCAGCAGTTAGAGTCGGAAAGGACCTCTCGGAGCACGGTAACAGCCACCTTTGTACAAATGGAGAAGGAGTCTGCCAAAGTGGGACTGCAGTAAACGCCGGGAGGACAAAACTGATGACATCAACGCGCAAGACGTCCAGTAGGCTCGTCCCAACTGTGGAACTTGAAAACTACAGCTTCGAGGTAGTGAATGTTGTTATATATAAACATAACTAATAACATCAACTTTGAAATCCGGAGGAGGTGTTGACCAACAGATGCTACTGTGGTCTGAGTAAGCAACTCAAAAGCCAGGGCACCTGTCGTCAGACCAAACTCGCACTCTACAAGACGCTTATATTACCCGTGCTGTTATATGGATCTGAAGCATGGGTACTTGCGGAAGTAGATCAGACAGCTCTTGATTTGTTTGAAAGAAAAATTCTCCGACGGTGAATACCGTTGTCGAATGAACCATGAGCTATACCTTATATTCTCGAACATCAACAGACTGATCGAGCTGCAGCAACTACGTTGGCTATGTCATGTTGTGAGAATAGATGAGGATTCCCCCACTCAAAAGGCGTATATAAGTGAGCCAAGTGATGGTTCACGCAGAAGGGAAAGGCCACAAATCCGATGGGAAGATCAAGTAGACCGGCACGGTTGAAAATCTTTTTTAATATCGGGTTATGGAACAACCGGTCTGTGACAAGCCAGCTAAGTAAGAACGTGATGGGCCCTTAAAAGAAAGTGATCGTTGCCTTTTATTTATACAGGGTATTACAGGGTATTATGCCTTTGTGCATATGTTTGTAACAGGCAAAAGGAAACGAGATAGACACATGGTTCCTTTTGCGAATATGCATAGAATCACTTTTTAAGTCGATTTATGCATGTCCGTCTCGGTTCATATTTAGATATAGCTCTAATATATATATTTTCGTCCGATTTTAGGTAAATAGTGCACCAAAGTCCCTATATATCCTTCGATTTGCACGAAATTTGGCATAGGGTACTAAATTAAGCCTAGAACGATGTGTGTTAAATTTCGTGAAAATCGGTTCAGATTTAGATATAGCTCCCATATATATATTCGTCCGATTTTAGGTAAATAGTGCACCAAAGTCCCTATATATCCTTCGATTTGCACGAAATTTAGCATAACGTACTGAATTGAGCCTAGAATGATGTCTGCCAAGTTTCATGAAAATCGGTCCTGATTTAGATATAGCTCCCATATATAGTTTCGTCCGATTTCATGTAAATGGTGCACCAATGTCGCTATATATCCTTCGATTTGCACGAAATTTGGCACAACGTATTGAATTGAGCCTAGAGTGATGTCTGCCAAGTTTCGAGAAAATCGGTCAAGATTTAGATATAGCTCCCATATATAGTTTCGTCCGATTTCATGTAAGTGGTGCACCAAAGTCCCTATATATCTTTCGATTTGCACGAAATTTGTCATAACGTACTGAATTGAGCCTAGAGTGATGTCTGCCTTGTTTCGCGAAAATCTGTCCAGATTTAGATATAGCTACCTTTTATGATAGATTGATTTTAAGTAATTGACGCACCAAAGAACCAATAGGAACAAAACGTTCTAAAATTAGTATAACCTAACCTGTGTCAAGTTTGTTTGAAATCGCTTAATATTTGGATAGAGCTTCCATATATATATATATATATATATATATATTTTTCGCCGCATTTCAAGTAAATTGGGCATCAAACTCCTCATGTTAGTCAGATTGACATCAGCGCACAACGTACAAAATTGAGCATAGAATTACGTAGTTGCGTTTTCTAGAAGTACAGACATAGCCCAACGGATGACCTATTTATATTTGTTTGAAGTCGATTTACATACTTTATGGATAGATCTAGGTAGATTCACATTTAGATAAATATCACATATTTTATTTCATCCAATTTCATGTTAATAGTCCTGTTTAAAATACCCATAGTGGTGAAGGGTATCATATAGTCGGCCCCGTCCGACTTTACTACTTTCCTTGCTGGTTTTTAAGCTCGGCTTATGGAACAACCGTTCTGTCACAAGCCAGCTAAGTAAGACCGTGATGGCGCTTAAAAGAAAGTGATTTTAACCGAACCGTTTTAAAGAACCGTCGTTGCCTTTTATTTATCCAATCACAATAAAGAACCGTGGTGAGCCTTTATCCAAAGAAATGTGGTTTTAACCGAACCGAAATAAAAAACCGTCGTAGGTTCCTTATTTTAAAGTGTTTTTTTTTACCGAATCGAATCTTTATTCAAAGACAAGTGCTTTTAACTGCAATAAAGAGTCGTCATGAGCCTTTATTGAAAAGTGTTTTAATCTTGAAGAGCTGTCGATGCCTATATCAAAACAGTGTGAAAGATCGTAAGGTTACGGGTCCGTACAGGCCAAAACCTGAACCAGGTCGTCCCAAGAAGCAATATCTTTATTCTGCTTCAAAATCTTCAATAATACTGCATCTTAGTTGTTTTTGGTCAAAGTCAAAGTATTCTACACCAAATTTCACTATTAGTTACAATACACAAGATTTTGTGCACTTTTTTGCAACGTGTATTGTTTTGATTATCCGCACGTGTTTAGCATAGACTGTTGTAAGAATATATATTTAAATACAATTTGTTTGTTCTTTAAATAAATAATACGATTTATAATAAATGTTTTACTAAAATATATCATGTATGCAAATAATTTAACATATTATACTATTATTGGCAACATTTTAAACTCTGCTATTTTAAAATTCCCTTTTATAGCCACCATAAGAAGTAGAACTTGCCAAGAGTACGGTATGATAGTCACGGAAAGCAATCATTGGTCAACCATAATTAATGTTATATGTGAGTAGCAAATAAATCAATAAAATATTGATTTTATATATGTAGTTTAATATTGCAATTATAAATTATATTCCAGAATTTAATTAGTACTAAATTAATTAATATAAAAATATTTAAAAATAATTATTAAAAATAATCTGTATTATTGAAAATATATTTTTTTATTTCAAGTGCAATCATATTTTTCGAATCTAACAACAACATGTATATTGAGACATAAGGATTATGATTTGGCCTCACCATCTACAGGTGTAAATTTTAATGCGTATTTGCATATCAATCCAGGGACTTTGGAAGAATCTTTCGACACGGATATTTACAATTATACGCAGCAGGATGACGATTTTAATCGAAATGGAATTTTTTACGATAATTGGACAAGAAAATTTGTGGCAGCTATTAAGCAAACACATTGTGAGGTTAGTATATATAGCAAAATAAGGTTCGTGTATATGTAAAATAGTAAATATGTTATAAATCTTTTTATACCCTCCACCATGGAATGGAGGGTATATTAGTTTTGATTTTCCGTTTGAAATAATCATTCCCGATCCTATACTTTATTTATTCTTAATCAGCGTAAAATTCTATGACGATTTAAGCATGTCCGTCTGTCAGTCTGTCTGACGTTGTCAATCTAGCGTCTAAACATAATATAAGGGTATTTTGAGGTTCTTGAGCGCGTTTTTCAACGGAATTCGCTTAAATATATTACGTTGAGTTCTTACTAGGTAGCAAATCTCTCCACTAAAAATTATAAATATGGGTCAATTTTTTCGGATTTTGTGGTTTTGACCGCATTTTTCGACCGAATTCGCTGAAATTTAATACTTTAAGTTCTTATTGGTATTTTTTACGGATAGCCCCCATATAAGGGTACCCCTAATTTCCGGTATTTTGGAGTTCTTAGGCTCGTTTTACAACTGAATTCGCTGGGTTCTGATTTGGTACCAAATTACTCCACTAAAAATTATAAATATAGGTCCACTATTTCTGGTAGTCCTCATATAACGGTACCCCCAAATGTTCGGTATTTTGGGAGTTCTGATCGCATTTTTCAACCGAATTGGCAGTAATTTTGTACTTCGAATTCTTATTGGGTAGCAAATCTCTCCACTTAAAATTATAAGTATAGGTCCATTTTTTCAGGTAGCTCCCATATAAGGGTACCCCAATTTTCGGTGTTTTGGAGTTCTTGAAAGCATTTTTCAAGCAAATACTTTGTAATTTGGTTTTTTGTAGGCGCATATGGTAACAAACCCCCCCTCTCAAAAATTATTAATGTTCGCCCCCTTTTAAGGGTAGTCCCCATATTACCCCCTTTTTTATACCCTTCACCACATTGTTGTCTTTGTGCATATGTTTGTAACAGACAAAAGGAATCGAAATAGACCCACGGTTCCTTTTGAGAATATACATAGAATCACTTTCTGAGTCGATTTATGCATGTCCGTCCGTCCGTCTGTTAATGTTAAATTGTAAACAAAGTACAGGTCGCATTTATGATCCGAATTTGATAAAATTTGGCACAGCTCATTTGCTTGGCCTAAGGACGAACCCTATTGAAATTGGGAAAAATCGGTTCAGATTTATATATAGCTCCCATATATATTTTCGTCCGATTTAAGGTAAATGGTGCACCAAAGTCCTTATATATCTTTCGTTTTGCACGAATTTCGGTAAAGGATACTGAATTAGGTCTAGAATGATGTTGCTAAGCTTCGTGAAAAGATCCATAGCTAGGCCGATTGACAAAACGTACTGAACGTAAATTAGTCTCTGGCAAGTAATATAAATTAGTCTCTGTTAGGATACATATGTAGAATATACCCAAATTGGTGAAGGGTATCATACAGTCGGCCCAGTCCGACTTTACTGCTTTCCTTTACTGGTCTCTATGTATATGTATATTTGTAAACAGCAAAATGAAACCAAAGGAAAGTAATCATGGGTCTCACATCCCTTTAAGGATATTCATAGAATCCCTTTCTGAGTCGATTTAGGTATGTCCGTCTGTCCATATAAATGATCCGAATGAAATGAAATTTGCCCAGCTCAGTTATTTGGACGACCCCAATTGAAATATCGATATAAATGTAGCTGCCGTATATAGATTGTTCCGATGCAACAATCGTTCTCTCATGTCACAATGTTTATTCGATTGAGCGAAAATATTGCACCCGTACAGATTGAAAGTTTTATGGAAATCGGCCTAGATATAGTTCCAATATATTTTCGCCTGATTTTATGATATGGTGCACCAAAGACCTAACGCCTGTCCGATTGAGACAAAATTTGGCACAGCATACCGAAATGTTTGTTCAGTTTAATAGAATTGGTTTCGTTCAATTTAATGTAGAGCCTGTGAGTTATTCATAGATACGCTGAAGGGCCAGAGATGCTTAGAGTACGTGGGTACCTACCTTGCGGTCTTACCCCACGGTGCTGTAAACACCAGTTAATACAAAGCGTCAACCAACGCCCCCACACCGAAATGCAGGTACCAATCGATCACACGTATTTGGACGCGATCACCTCCTTGGATGAGGAGTGGAGCCCATCTAAAATTCCTGCCTTTCTATGAGTCAGGCATCCGTTTATAATGCAACTCAACACCGAGCCACAGCTCTATCCGCGATTTGGGTATACCTCCACCTCCAGCACGATGCTCCCCGAAGGGCCAACACCAACAGCCAGGCTAGATCCGCAGACCTAGGGGCCCTGACGTGAGTCTTTTTTAGCCGATTTCATCTAAGAAATATTTGTCCTAGACCCAATTTTAAGAATACTGATCGCCATATCTCGACTAGCTGAGTCGATCTAGACATGTGTGTCAATCCGTCCGTATCGTGTAAACACAATACAGGTCATTGTTATGGAGCAATCGTCATGAAATGTGCAATGAAGCGAAAATGTATTTTTGAAGATTTCTTAGTCCCTCTAGAGGTAATTATTGTATGCAGAACGTCACTTATTTTACACGGGTCTGACCAAAGGCTTAGAACGGCTGTTTAGATGAAGATTTGTTAATATTCCTAAAGAGACCAATATTTTATTTTATGGCGTAAGTATTCACATCGGGACAAGAAGATTTGGAAAATATGCCAGGGTTAGAAAGTGGAGCTTTTGTCTCTAATCGGTCAAGAGGGTGCAAACATAACCAAATGTTAGTCGGACTCAGAATATAGAACCCCATAAAGTTAAATTATCATATTGTCGGCCCCGTCCGACTTTTGCTTCGCTCACTGGTTTTCATCTAAATTGTTCGAAATGGATTCTTCGTTTGACACGAAATCTTCCATAACGTACCAATTATTCTGATCAATAATGTAGAATCTACGAGATTTTCGGTGAATTCTTCGAGGTGTTGCCGTATCATTTAATCATTGTTTCCATATCCTCGTCTCTCTCTTTCTCTCTCTCCCTGCAGGGTTTTGTGGCCTTTCAAGATGACATTCCAAAATTTGCCCGAACTTATCGAAAGGCTAGTGTCTATTCCATATGGAGACCAATACAATCGAAATTTTTATTTGTCTACACAAAGGAGCAACAACGTGAGGACTACTTTCAGGATTTGTTATTTAAAAGTGATTTCTCACATGGAAAAATATCAAACAAATATTCAAAGTCCATTTCTTTCAGATGCCGCAAACATTTTAATCATTGAATCGGAATATAAAAATTCCACTCAATTCAATATAAAAACAAATAAATTTGTTGGTTCTTTGTTTGAAAATCCTCAAGAATTACAGCAAATAACTCAATTCGATGCTCTAACTGGGAAATTTGAACCAAAAGTAGATTTAATTCTTCGCAATAAATTACAAAATTTACAGGGACGTGAAATTATTGTCGGTGCTTTTGATTATCGTCCATTTATGGTGGTGGATTTTCATCGTTTACCTCAATACTATGATAGGGCTGAGGATAATCCACGGCATTTGGCCCATGTTGATGGTACCGAAATGCATATAGTTCATACATTTTGTGCTCTATATAATTGTAGTGTTCAGGTGGATACATGTAAGTAGCAAGGATTTTTTTTATTTTAATGATATTTTATAATGGAATCTTTTTTGAAGCCGAGAAAGAAGAATGGGGTATGGTGTTCCCCAACTATACAGCCAATGGCTTAATGGGAATGATTATCGATGACAAAACTCATATGGGCATGGGAGCTATGTATTTGTGGTAAGTTATATTTTTATACCCTACATGATACAGGCCACATTTATAGACCAATATACACGAACATTTTCATGTAGGATGGGTTCTGGCCAATGAAGACCCCTATTGTTTTTGGTAAAGATCGCTTAATATTTAGGGGATGAAATGTACCAAAAACCTTATTTTTGTCCGATTTTCTGGTCGCTCCATAGGCTGCAATTATGGCCCAAACATCGCCAATTTTTACATGGGGAAGGGGGTCGGGCCAAAGAATAAGCATACCTGTTTTGATAAGAATTGGTCAATATTTAGCGGGTCAAATGTACCCTTACTTTTGTGTGAAAAATGGCAAGATCTACAGCGTATATATTTACCCTTGAAGGACATAGACCCGTGAAGTTGATTGTTTTTTTCAAGAGGAGTCGGTGGCCTTTAAATTGATACCAATTATATGATCGCACTTAAATATTTACGGGTGCTTACGTGCTGAGATATTATTTAGTAACCCATTCCCACACTAGAGGGCGGAAATATAGCGGTGATCGCTTTGAAAATATGCATGAGATTCCAGATATGGTCAAGCACAACGCATATAATTTCCGTGATGATCAGATAATAGTTTTGGGATGTAGTGGACCGAAAACTCTGGACAAGAACAGCCCTCGTCCACTGAATATTACAAATATTTGTCAAGAGGGTGCAAATATCGCGAAATATTGCCCAAGCTCTGAATAAAGAACCATAGAAAGTTAGATTTTCGTGGAAGTTGTGTAGGGTATCATATGGTCGGCCCCGTCCGACTATACTGCTCCGCTCACTGGTTATTACATACTATTTATAAATGTCAACGCATAGATGATTTCTCTCAAAATATCGGAATGTTAAAATGAATATTTCCCTTTCCTGCCTACTGCACTCTCATTTCAGGGACTTGGCCTACAAATCCTTGGATCAAACCATATTCCTTGGACGTTCGGGTATAACATGTCTAGTTCCGGCTCCAACACGGATTACCAGTTGGAATTTACCAATATCACCATTTCAATATACACTGTGGCTGGGTGTATTCCTGTGCTTGTTTTGGGAGATGTTGGCTTTATTTTTGACCCGGCTGTTCGAAGAACGTGTGGTGGAAAAAAAGAAAATCTCCGCCATATGGTCGAGTATTGAATTTGGTTATGTTACTACATTGAAATTATTTATATCACAGGGGTCCGATTATGTGGTAAATTCGCATACTGTTAGGACCATTCTATTTGCCTGCTATATGATTGATATTATTGTGACGAGTATTTATGCGGGTGGATTATCGGCCATATTGACGTTGCCAGCGTAAGTATAGATATAAGAAAGTTTTCGAAATTTTTATATGAGTATCTGAGTATTTTTTCAGTCTTGAGGAGGTAGCCGATTCTGTTGAACGTCTATATCGCCACAATATAACCTGGACAGCCACATCATACGATTGGATTGTCTCCATAACGGTTAATGAAAGCGAGGAATCCGATGTGAGTGGACCGAAATTAGAAAAGTTAATAAAACCCTAATAACAACTTTCCTAATAGCCCATCTATAGCAGCCTCTTGGCCAATTATCGCGTCAACAGCATGTCTGAAATGCGCCGTAAGGCCAAAACTGAAAATATGGGTTTCGTTTTGGAACGTATGGCATTTGGTCATTTTGGTAATGGTGATTTTATAACCCCCGAAGCTCTACAGCGCTTGAAGTTAATGGTCGATGATATCTATTATCAATTCACTGTGGGTATGGTACCGCGCATGTGGGCCCATTTACCCAAATATAATGATTTAATATTGGCCTGGCATTCATCGGGTCTTTCACAATATTGGGAATGGAAAATTGTTGCCGACTACATGAATGCCAATGAACAGAATCAGGTACAGGCATCGATGTACACTCAAGTGGACGCGGGTCCCGTCAAATTGGATATGAAAAATTTTGCCGGTTTAATTTTACCATGGTTTATTGGTATATTTATAAGTTGTGTGGTTTTTATTGGTGAGTTGATATACTATCGATGGGAGAAGAGAAGGGAGAATTGAATTATAATTCTAAGGGAATGAAATACCAGAAAATTTTTTTAAAAAATAAACAATTGTAATAGGATGTTGCTACCGAAAAGGTTCGTGTGGGAATGTTTTGTAGTGTCACTGATTTTAGTAGAATTTGAAATATATTATATTCAAATATGTAAAAGTAGTTGAATAAACATAAAAATAAATACTTAGCGGAACTGTCTATTGATTAACTTAGGAATCCCACTCATTATGATTGTATTGCAAAATATTGTATTCCTTTTGTTGTCCGAGCAAAAACCATCCAAAACATAGTTTATAACCGCTTCAGCAATAATAATTGATTCTCTCTTGTTATACCCTCCATCATAATGTAGACTGTATATTAAATATATATCAAAATTATCATTTCCTTTGCAACACCTCAAAATATTCACCGGAGACACCATATATTCTTGATGAGAGTGGTATGTCGACCCCGGTTCAGCTCACTACTAAAAATGATGGTATTGATAATGCGATATATCGGTCCATGTTTTGGTATAATTATATAAATGCTCATTAACTAGAAAATAGACATTATTATTGGGCCACATTTAAGGGTAGCCCCCATATAACGATTCTCCCAGGGGGAGGGGACAGAGGATTTTTATTATTTTGATTCTTATTGGGTAACAAATCCTTCTACAACAAATTAGCAATTTTGTTACTTATTTTTATTAAAAGATTCGATTTGCTATTAAATCTTCAATTCGTATTGTCTCATCTCCAGCATATCTCATTATTTCGTTTTCTTATCAAACTCTTCAGGAGAAAATTTTTATTGTATTCCAATCAGTACTTTTTTTAATGCAACAACTCTTTGTATACGAATTATCACATGCGAACAATTTCACAAAGTTTGTTATAATTTATTTATTATTAATTAGCAACGGCTTATGTTTTCAACATCGAAAGTGTAATAACAATAAACCAGTAAGGAAAGTAGTAAAGTCGGACGGGGCCGACTATATGATACCCTTCACCACTATGGGTATGTTAAACAGGACTATTAACATTAAATTGAATGAAATAAAATATGTGATATTTATCTAAATGTGAATCTACCTAGATCTATCCATAAAGTATGTAAATCGATTTCAAACAAATGTAAATAGGTCTGGGGCTATGTCTGTACTTCTAGAAAACGCAACTGCGTAATTCTATGCTCAATTTTGTACGTTGTGCAAAATTTGATGTCAATCTGACTAACATGAGGAGTTTGATGCCCAATTTACTGGAAATCGGGCGAAAATATATATGGAAGCTCTATCCAAATATTAAGCGATTTCAAACAAACTTGTCACAGGTTAAGTTATACTAATTTCAGAACGTTTTGTTCCTATCAGTCTATTAGTTCCTTGGTGCGTCAATTACTTAAAATCAATCTATAATAAAAGGGAGTTATATCTAAATCTGAACCGATTTTCTCGAAACTTGGCAGACTTCACTCTAGGCTCAATTCACTTTGGTGCACCATTTACATGAAATCGGACGAAACTATATATGGGAGCTATATCTAAATCTTGACCGATTTTGGCAGACATCATTCTAGACTCAGTTCAGCACGTTATGCCAAATTTCGTGCAAATCGAAGGATATATAGGAACTTTGGTGCAACATTTGCATGAAATCGGACGAAACTATATATGGGACCTGTACTTTGTTTACAATTTAACACCAACAGACGGACGGACATGCTCAAACCGACTCAGGGTGTGATTCTATGTATATTCTCAAAAGCAACCATGTGTCTATCTCGTTTCCTTTTGCATGTTACAAACATATGCAAAAAAACATAATACCCTGTACCACAGTGTGGTGAAGGGCATAAACAATCGCACGGGTCGACATTTTTTAACCCTTCACCTTTCAAAATACAACAAAATCATATTAACGATACCCAACGGTACCACAAATTATAAAGATTTGACAAACCATCAAATTGGAGCCAAATCAGATGAGAAACGTGCCCAAAATACCGAATAATGTGGGATACCGTATTATGGCGTCTAACCTGATCAATGCTAATCATTTTTGGCAGAGAAATTAACTTCAGCATTGGGATTTGTACTCCATTTACATAAAATCAGACGAAAATATATATGGGAGCTATATCTAAATCTGTATCGATTTTCACGAAACTTAGCACACATCATTCTAAACTTAATTCAGTAAGCTGTGTCAAATTTTGTGCAAATCGGATAATATATAGGAACTTTGGTGCACTATTTACCCAAAATCTGACGAAAATATATATGGGACCTATATCAAAATCTGAACCGATTTTTCCCAATTTCAATAGGGTTCGTCCTTGGGCCAAATAAGAGACCTATGCCAAATTTCATCCAGTTCGGATCATAATTGCAACCTGTAGTTTGTCTACAATTTAACATGGACAGACAGACGGAGGATGGACGGACATGCACAACTTAAGAAGTGATTCTATACATATATTCTCAAAAGCAACCATGTGTCTATCTCGTTTCCTTTTGCCTGTTACAAACATATGCACAAAGACATAATACCCTGAAGCGTATAAAAACTTAAATAAAAGAAAATAATTTTAATCAAAAGTGGCCCTCCCTTATTTCGAATAAGTTAGAAAAGTCTATCGATTGACCCCCATTCATCGATAATTACTAAAGACTCAGTGGTTCTTCACATTGTCTACATAGACTATATAATTCTACAGCACATCGTTATATGTGCCAATAATATATAAAAGTATGTATGATTCTATTGTAAAACATTGTATTTAATTTATGGAGAACTCTCCCAAACATGGTTTTTAATCGCTTCAGGGTGATACACAATAATTGATATTCTCTTGTAATACCCTCCAACACTTCGACACGTCCTTATAAGATTCTTGGCAACTCTGATCCTCCAGATCGTCTATATAGTCGATGGTCCTTCACATTTCTTCCGCATGCCATAAAATACACATTGACCCTTTCTTTGATGACTCTCCAGATAATCAAACAAACGTCTCTGAAAATAGCGTAGGGAGTTAATTATAACCCAATTTTTATACCCTACACAACTATGTTGTCAGGGTATTATAGCTTTGTGCAGCCCCAAAAGTTTGTAACGCTGGGAAATATTGGTCCTAGACCCACCTTTAAGTATACCGATCGTCATATCTCGACTAGATGAGTCGATCTAGACATGTGTGTCCGTCCGTCCGTCTGTCCATTATAATTTGTAAACACGATACAGGCCACAGTTATGGACCAATCTTCACGAAATTTTGCATGTAGGATGCAAATCTTTTTTGGAAAGATCGGTTAATGTTTAGGGGATGAAATGGACCAAATACTAAATTTTTGTCGGTTTTTCTGGTCGCTCCAGAGGCCGCAATAAAGGCCCGAACATTGTGAAATTTTCCATGGAGAAGGGGATCAGGCCAAAGAATAAGCATGCCTGTTTTCATAAAGATCGGTCAATATTTAGCGGGTCAAATGGACCCTGACATTTGTGTGAAATACGACAAAATTTGTATTCTATAGCATATATATTTACCCCTGAAGGACATGGACCCGAGAAGTTTATATTATATCCAAGAGGAGTGGTTGACCTTTAAATTAATACCAATTATATTGTTGTATGTGTTCGGATGTGGGAGTTACACCTAAATATTTACAGGTATCTCCGTATTCGTATATTATTTAGTAACCCATTATCACTCTAGAGAGCGGAACTATAGCGCTGATCGCTTTGAAATGTTCCATGAGGTTCCAGTTATGGTCAGGGACAAAGCCTATATTTTTCGGAGATGATCAGATAATAATTTTGGAATGAAGTGGACCGAAAACTTAATTTTTTGTGTTATTTTCGAGTCGATCTATAGACCACAAATGAAAGCCGAACATCACAACTCAACCCACGGTGAAGGGAATCTGGACAATAGCTGTACTGAATTCTCGTAATATTCGGAAAATATGTCAGTGTGAGGATGAGGTGCTATTTACCTTTAATCGGGCAAGAGGGTGCAAATATCACGAAATATTGTCCAGGCTCGGAATATACATCCGCAAAAATTTGAGTTCCTTGGTAGTTGTGTAGGGTATCGTATGGTCGGCCCCGTCCGACTATACTGCTCCGCTCACTGGTTTAATATATATAAGTATATTCCCAACCATTTCTAGTTCCCAGATCGACTAAACATGCACAGGCAAACCATGGTTGTCAGTAGGCAAATTCCTGCTGGTGTTGTTCTTCTCTTTTTGTTTTTCTTTAGACAACCTGCTAGTATTCCATACTCTTGACTGCTATAGGAAGTGATTTTGGCCTACTACATTTTTCCCACTGGTCTCCTAACGAAAGGTATCCTACAAGAATGCATTCTGGTATTCTTTGGAAAGGCTTCTTTGGAAAGAACTTCTACAGAAAAACTTAACGTTCCGTTTGGATCCTTTAGAAAATATTTTTTAGTCCTCTTAAGGAAGATCTTCTGATCTACTACGGGAAGTAATTCCGGGTTTCTTTAGAAACCCCTTTTAGAAAAAAAGATCTTTTCGTCTTCTATAGGAACCTTTTCTGATCTTCGTAGATAGGACTTCAGGTTTCTTGAATAAAGAACATTCTTTCTTCGGAACAAGATGAAACTTCTGGTCCTCGGAAGGAAGACCTACATATGTTCTTCCATTCTTATTGGAACACCTTTGTCGTGCTTCTAAAAGAGTTCCAGTCTTCTAAAACTGTGCCTGCTGATCTTTTAGAAAAACTTCTTCATAGATTCTATAAAATGTTTGCTAGTCTGCTAAATAAATTTCTTCTCGTTTTCTTTAGAAAGGCCACCGGATTTATTAGCAAAACCTTTCGAGTAAGGCGTTCTGGTCATTCCATAAGGAAATTTGAAGTTCTGTTCCGAATGACCTGCTGGTCCTCGGAATTTCTTCTGTTCTTCCATTTGAATAAGTGGATATCCTATTATTTCATAGGAAGTTATTCTGACGTGCCATCCTTTTAAAGGAATACCTTTG